CGTGCCTTTGTCTGCGATACTTCCGCAGACAAGCTCTCCTCCCGCCCTATTCCCTATGTCTTCCTTGGCTTTCCCCTTGACGCGCCCGGCTAGCAGTTTTACCACCCCACTTCGCGTCGTGTCCTCCCCTCTCCGGACATCACGTTTGACAAGTCGGTTCCCTTTAACCGTCTCTTCCCCTACCGCACTGCCCCTCTCTCCCCCCCCGCCGCTCTTCCTTGCTCCAGGTCTCCCTCCGGTAGACCCCCTCCCTCCTCAGGGTCCTGCTCCCTCAGGTGTGTCTCAGGTAGACCCACTTCCCGGGACTGTGCCTGTCGAGGTCGCTGTAGACTCAGGTGCTGCTAGAGGTGCTGCGTCTGGGGGTGCTAAGCTTGCGCGTGCGGAGCCTGGGGGTGCTGAGCCTGCGGGTGCGGAGTCTGGGGGTACTGAGCCTGAGGGTGCGGAGCCTGGGGGTGCTGAGTCTGAGGGTGCAGAGTCTGGGGGTGCTGAGCCTGGGGGTGCAGAGCCTGGGGGTACTGAGCCTGAGGGTCTAGAGCCTGAGGGTGCTGGGTCTGAGGGTGCGGAGTCTGGGGGTGCTGAGCCTCAGGGTACTGCGTCTGTTGGAGGTCCTACGGGTGCCTCGCCACGACTGTCTCCCCGGCAGGAGCCTCTCTCACCGCAGCAGCTACGCGAGTGGTTTGCTCAGCGCACACGCATTTGGAGTGGCACTACAGGAGCTGGAGGCTCTGCCACTGGAGGCACTAGAGCTGGAGGTATTGGAGCTACTCTTCTTGGAGGTGCTGGAGTTACTGCTGGAGCTGGAGGTACCGGAGTTGCTGGAGCTGCTGGTCCTGGAGGTGCTCGTACTTGGGGTACTGGATCTGCCGGGGCTGTTGGTGTTGGAGGAGCTGGAGCTGGAGGCACTGGAGGTGGAGGCACTGGCGCTGGCGGCGCTGGAGCTGGAGGAGCTGGAGCCGGAGGCACTGGCGCTGGAGGCGCTGGAGCTGGAGGAGCTAGAGCTAGAGACCCTGGAGCTGGAGGCACTGGAGCTGGAGGAGCTGGAGCTAGAGACCCTGGAGCTGGAGGCGCTGGAGCTGTTGACCCTGGAGCTGGAGGTGCTGGCGCTGGGGGTGCTGGAGCTGGCCGTCCTGGTGCTGGAGGCATTGTGCAGCGGCGCCCGTTTTTCGTTCTGCCGCCACCGTCATCTCTGCTGCCACCTGACTTCGTCCTTCGCCAGGTTCTTAGTCTCCCGTCTTCTACTGGCCTTCCTCCTAGCTTACTGAGTGCACCTCTTTGCCAGTCGCAGCCACAGTTACATCCATGTCAGAACATTATAGCTTTTACATTTGTGTAGGCTGTAGTGGGGTAGCCCATAAGGGGTACAACCCAATTAGGGTTAGTACTTGTACCCAACTCTTTTCTAGTTCATTCATTCTCGTTCACAACATTCTAACATGGTTTCAGAGCAGGTCCCCTAGGACCAGTTTGTTTTTGGGCCCACCACCTGCTGCCCTGCTAGCCTAGGCCCGCGTCCATTGCCCCTAGGCCCCGTCCTGTCACCACCCCTAGCCCAGCCCATCGCCCCTTGGTGTCGCCCCTAGCCCCTGCCTCGGCCCCTTGGCTCCGTCGACCCCGTCCCCCCTAGCTCGGCCCCTCGGCCCCGTCGCCTCGGCCCCGCGGCCCCCTCGCCCCTAGCTCGGCCCCTCGGCCCCGTCTCCTCAGCCCCTCGGCCCCGTTGCCTCGGCCCCGCGGCCCCGTCGCCCCTAGCTCGGCCCCTCGGCCCCGTCGCCTCGGCCCCGCGGCCCCGTCGCCTCGGCCCTGTTGGCCCCGTCTCCTCAGCCCCGCGGCCCCGTCGCCCCTAGATCGGCCCCTCGGCCCCGTTGCCTCGGCCCCACGGCCCCGTCGCCCCTAGCCGCGGCCCCGTCGACCCCGTCGCCCCTAGCTCGGCCCCTCGGCCCCGTCGCCTCGGCCCCTTGGCCCCGTTGCCCCTAGCCGCGGCCCCGTCGCCCCTAGCTCGGCCCCGTTGGCCCCGTCACCTCGGCCCCTTGGCCCCGTCGCCTCGGCCCCGCGGCCCCGTCGCCCCTAGCTCGGCCCCTCGGCCCCGTCGCCTCGGCCCCGCGGCCCCGTCGCCCCTAGTCGCGGCCCCGTCGACCCCGTCGCCCCTAGCTCGGCCCCTCGGCCCCGTCACCTCAGCCCCTCGGCCCCGTTGCCCCTAGCCGCGGCCCCGTCGGCCCCGTCGCCCCTAGCTCGGCCCCTCGGCCCCGTCGCCTCGGCCCCGCGGCCCCGTCGCCCCTAGCTCCGCTCCTCGGCCCCGTCACCTCGGCCCCTTGGCCCCTTCGCCCCCAGCTGTGGCCCCGTCGCCCCTAGCTCGGCCCCGTCGCCTCGGCCCAGCGGCCCCGTCGCCCCTAGCTCGGCCCCTCGGCCCCGTTGACTCGGCCCCTTTGCCCCTAGCCGTGGCCCCGTCGCCCCTAGCTCGGCCCCTCGGCCCCGTCGCCTCGGCCCCGCGGCCCTGTCGCCCCTAGCTCGGCCCCTCGGCCCCGTCGCCTCGGCCCCTTGGCCCCTTCGCCCCTAGCCACGGCCTCGTCGCCCCTAGCTTGGCCCCATCGGCCCCGTCGCCCCTAGCTCGGCCCCTCAGCCCCTCGGCCCCCTGGCCCCCAGGTACCTCGGCCCCTCGGCCCCCCTTGGCCCCCCTTGTTTGGCCCCTCGGCCCCTCGCCCCTAGGCCCCTTGCCCCCCCCCCCCCCCCCCCCCCCCCTTAGCCCCTCGTGTTTGGCCCCTCGGCCCCCTAGCCACTAGGCACCAAGGCCCCTCGGCCCCTTGCCCCTTGGCCCCTCGGCCCCTTGGCCCCTCGGCCCCTTGGCCCCTCGTGTTTGGCCCCTCGGCCCCTTGACCACTACTGCTGCTACTACTGCTACTACTGCTCCTGAGTACTGCGCCACTATGGCTTCGCTTCGAGTCCTAGCGTTCGATCATGAGGGCAGACCGGTTGCGTTTGACATGTGGCTCGACGATCTGCAGTTGTACCTACTGAGTGATACTAAGGACAGTGTTTCGCTGTTTGATCACGTGTCCGGTGCCGCTATAGCCCCTCCCGCCACAGCTGACAGTGCGACTCGCTCACAGTGGCTTTCTCGCGACGTTGCTGCCCGCTTAGCCATTTGCAACCACCTGCCGGTGGCCGAATGCGCTCACTTCGGACAGCACAGGACCACACAAGCACTGTACGACGCGGTAGTCTCTCGCTACTCCTCCCCTGCCACTGCTGCTCTAGGTCGCCTGCTTCTGCCCTACCTGTTCCCCGAGCTGTCTACAATTGCCATAGTAGAGGACCTGGTTTCCCACCTGCGCGCTAGCGACGCTCGCTACCGAGCTGCCCTCCCAGCCGAGTTCCTTGCAAGGAACCCGCCCCCGATGTACATCCCTCTCTACTTCGTAGTCACTCGCCTCCCTGACTCCCTTCGCTCTGTCAGGGACCACTTTCTCTCCCTTGACCCCACCTCCCTCACTGTTGACCTCCTCGAGCAGCATCTCCTCGCAGCTGAGACTAGTGCAGTTGCTGTAGGTGCTGCTCGTGGCACTTCGCGCCCGCCCTTCTTTGAGGGGTGCTCCCCCTCCCCCCTTGCCCCCGCCTACGCCTCTGCTGCTGCTGTAGACGTCTCTGTTGCTGAGGACGTCGGGGCTGCTTCTGCTAGTGCGAAGCGCCGCAGCAGCAAGGGCAAGGGTGGCAAGGGTGGTGGGGGTGGCAGTTGTGGTGGTGGAGGTGGCAGCGGGAGTAGTGGTGGGGGCAGTGGTGGAGGTGGTGGCGGCAGTGGGACTGGTGGAGGGAGTGGGGGTTCTGGTGGCGGCGGTGGGGGCAGCAGTGGGAGTGGTGGCAGTGGTGGCGGTGGGACTGGTGGCGGTGGGACTGGTGGCGGTGGGACTGGCGCTCGGCGTGTTGGTTCTGGAGGTGGCCAGTGTCAACAGCAGCAGCGTCGGAGTGAGACCCAGTCGCCCCAACAGCTTCGTGAGTTGTTTTTGCGTGGGGCGTCTGGGGGTAGCTGCCCGTATGTCATTCGCACGGGTGTTCGTGCTGGTCAGACATGCGGGAAGCTTCACACTCAGCACCGCTGCTTCTCCCGCCTCGACGACACTTGGCGTGCTGAGTTTGGTGACGACGTCGAGCTCCCTCGCTGGGCCGATCTGCTTAGGTTTAGGATTGCTATCTTTGACCTAGACTTTGATGCTATTCTTTCTGCTATGTATGCTTTGTCTGTTAGTGCTGAGGGTGACAGTTACCGGTGTGTGCCGCCTGACCCAGGTATAGCTGCTGCTGCTCTACGTGCTAGTGAGTCTGGTACTCTCCCTGGTACTGCGCCTGCTGAGGCCTTGCACACCTTCACGTTGGACTCAGGCGCCTCGCGCTGTTTCTTTCGTGACAGCACCACCCTCACTCCTCTCCCTGCACCTGTCCCGGTCAGACTGGCTGACCCCTCCGGGGGCCCGGTTGTGGCCCGTTCCTCCACTGTCGTCCCGTGTCCGGCGGTTCCGTCCGGTTCACTGTCAGGTCTTCACCTCCCCTCGTTCTCTACGAACTTGGTGAGTACCGCTGCCCTCCAGGATGCGATGGTCACTACCACCACTCCTGGGGGCCAGCGTGTGTCGATCTGCAGGTGCACACAGACGGGGCGTCACCTGGCCACGTTCACTCGTCGGCCAGGGTCGAGTCTGTACACACTAGCTACAGAGCCTCCTCAGGTAGCTGCGTCTGCCCAGGTGTCCGCGTCAGGTCAGGTAGCCGCCTCTTGCTCGTGTCGCCTCCTGTCGCACCAGACTCTTCCGTGGCACCACCGCCTGGGTCACCCCTCCCTGCCACGCCTTCGTGGCATGCACTCTCGTCTTCTTGTCTCTGGTCTGCCCAGGTCTCTGCCTCCCCTCCCGCCCTCGCCTGCCCCGCCCTGCCTTCCTTGCGTCGAGGGGCGGCAGCGCGCCGCTCCTCACTCCTCCTCGTTTCCCCCGACGACTGCTCCCCTTCAGACTCTCCACATGGACGTGTGGGGCCCAGCCCGCGTCAGTGGACAGGGCCGCGAGCGCTACTTTTTGCTGGTAGTTGACGACTACTCGCGGTACACCACGGTCTTCCCCTTGCGCAGCAAGGGTGAGGTCTCTGATGTCTTGATCCCTTGGATCCGCACAGTCCGTCTCCAGCTCCGCGAGCGGTTCGGCCAGGACCTTCCTGTCCTACATCTGCACTCTGACAGAGGTGGCGAGTCCCCCTCCCCCGCCCCCGCCGCTCTTCCTTGCTCCCGGTCCTCCTCCGGTAGACCCCCCCCCGCCACAGGGTCCTGCTCCCTCGGGAGTGTCTCAGGTAGACCCTCTCCTTGGTCCTAAACCTGTTCAGGTAGCTCTCGGCCCAGGTGCTGCTCCCGGTGCTGCATCTGGGGGTGCTGCGTCTGGGGGTGCGGAGTCTGAGGGTGCTGGGTCTGGGGGTGCTGAGCCTGGGGGTGAGGAGCCTGGGGGTGCTGAGCCTGCGGGTGTGGAGACTGGGGGTGTTGAGCCTGGGGGTGCTGAGTCTGAGGGTGCGGAGTCTGGGGGTGCTGAGCCTTGGGGTGCTGCTTCGTCTGGAGGTCCTGCTGGTACTTCGCCGCGGCTGTCTCCGCAGCAGCTGCGTGTGTGGTTTGTTCGGCGCGCACGCCTTCGGAGTGGAGCTCCTGGAGCTGGAGACGCTGGTGCTGGGAGTGCTGGAGTTACTGCTGGAGCTGGTGGTCCTGGAGGTACTGCAGTTGCTGGTCCTGGAGGTGCTCGTACCAGGGGTACTGGAGTTGCCGGGACTGGTGGTGTTGGGGACGCTGGAGCTGGAGACCCTACGGAGCCTGGAGCTGCTAGAGTTGGAGGCACTGGCGCTGGTGGCGCTGGAGCTGGAGGCGCTGGAGCTGCAGGAGCTGGAGCTGTTGACCCTGGAGCTGGAGGTGCTGGAGGCACTGTGCAGCCGCGACCGTACTTCGTTCCCCTGCTTCAGCAGGTTCTTGGTGTCCCGTCCTCTACTGGCCTTACTCCTCCTCTCCTGTGCCCACCACCTGATCAGTCGCAGCTGCCGTTGCAGCCGGCCTCTCCACTGCCTGCTCCCTCTCCTTACACTGAGCAGTCCGGCGGTCTTACAGAGCGTCTTGAGCCTACGTCTCGTCCTGTCTCTCCTGTTGGCACTGCTCGTCACGTTCCTCGTTCGCGTCCTCCTCCTGTCCCCGGCACGCACGCTATGGCTTTCCGTCCTTCCTCTGTTCAACTGCGTGTTCCTCTGCCGCCTCCTCCTGAGGCCTCTCTTCCTGAGGTCCCTGACCCTGAGTCTTTCCGCGCTCGTGCTGCCAGTCCCACTGTTGCTCGTCTCCTCGACACTGCTGTCATTGACCCTTCCTTTGAGTCTGCTGCTGCGTCTGCTCTAGATGCTGAGCTGCTTGACTTTGCTGCTGCATGTCGTCTAGACTACGCCACTGCTCTTGTTATTGAGACTGCGTCTGCCAGTCCTCTGTCCGTTGGGGGTGAGTGTGCTCTTGGCACGGACAGGGAGGAGGAATTTGAGTGTCTTGCAGCTGCTGTACCTCGTTTCGCTTCCATGCTGCTTGCCCCTGAGGGAGACCCGGATGCACCAGACATCCCTACCCCGCGCTCTTACGCAGAGGCGATTACGGGTCCTTACTCCTCTCAGTGGCAGGCAGCCATGGATGCCGAGATGGCATCCTGGAAGTCCACAGGCACCTACGTCGACGAGGTTCCCCCACCTGGGGCGAACATAGTCGATGGCATGTGGATTTTCAGGGTGAAGCGGCCGCCGGGTTCTCCGCTTGCCTTCAAGGTGCGTTACGTTGCTCGAGGCTTCAATCAGCGACAGGGGGTTGACTACTTCCAGATCTTCTCCCCCACCCCGAAGATGACTACTCTTCGGGTGTTGCTGCACGTCGCTGCTCAGCATGACTACGAGTTGCACTCCCTGGACTTCAGCACAGCTTTCCTGCAGGGCAGCCTGCACGAGGAGATCTGGCTGCGCCGCCCACCTGGCTTCACTGAGTCGTTTCCTGCAGGTACTCAGTGGAGCCTCCGGCGGCCAGTCTATGGTCTCCGCCAGGCGCCTCGCGAGTGGCACGACACACTGAGGACTACACTTGCGGCTCTTGGGTTTGCTCCTACTACTGCTGACCCGTCGCTGTTTCTACGCACCGACACATCGCTGCCGCCATTCTACGTCCTCGTGTACGTCGACGACCTCGTCTTTGCCACTGTTGACACTGAGGCACTGACCCTTGTGAAGTCGGAGCTGCAGAAGAGACACACTTGCACTGACCTGGGTGAACTGCGCAGCTATCTTGGCTTGCAGATCACCCAGGACAGAGCATGGCACACCATCACCCAGGCTCAGTCACACATGGTGCACCAGGTCCTTCAGCGCTTCGGCTTCCAGTTCTCCTCGCCACAGCCCACTCCTCTGTCTACCACTCACTCGCTCTCAGCTCCACCTTCGGACGAGTCCGTAGAGCCGAGTGGTCCGTACCCAGAGCTTGTGGGTTGCCTCATGTACCTGATGACATGCATACGACCTGACCTCGCATACCCTCTCAGCCTTCTGGCTCGCTACGTGGCTTCCGGTAGGCATCAAAAGGTGCACTGGGATGCTGCAAAGAGGGTACTGCGTTACTTGTGCAGTACGTCGGGCATGGGGCTCGTGCTTGGAGGACGGGGTCCAGTTGTCCTCACCGGTCACGCAGACGCTTCCTGGGTTGACGACTCAGCTACGCAGCCGTTGTCACAGGGTTACACTTTCAGCCTTGGCTCTGGCTCTATGTCCTGGCGGTCTACCCGCTCGTCTTCGGTTCTCAGCTCCAGTTGTGAGGCTGAGATCTACGCCGGGGTCATGGTTGCACAGGAGCTACGCTGGCTCACCTACCTGCTGACTGACTTGGGAGAGCAACCTCATTCGCCTCCAGTTCTGTACGTAGACAACAAGGCCATGATCGCCTTGTGTCAAGAGCACAGGCTGGAGCACAGAACGAAGCACATCGCTCTGCGATACTTCCTTGCTCGTGAGTTGCAGCAGCGTGGTCAGCTTCGTGTTGCGTACATGGCCAGTAGGGCCAACACTGCCGATTATTCACCAAGGCACTTCCGCCTGGTGATCATCAGCGCTTCTCTACTGTGTTAGGCCTTGTGCCTACTTTGCCTCACTTGCTTACTGCTTGACTCTGCTTGTACTGTGATCTGTATATTTACATGCATGCTTGCACTTGCTAGGATATGATCACTGTACTGTTTGTTCTCTTTTATATAACTCTGCATGTGAACTGGCCTTGTGGCCCTTTGCTTGTGCTCGGACTGTGTGGTGAATTTGTGATCCACCCTGAGCTTGCTTAGCTTTTCTTGACTGGTCTTGTGACCACTTGTTCTCCCCCACTTTGCCTATGGGGGTGTGTAAGAACATTATAGCTTTTACATTTGTGTAGGCTATAGTGGGGTAGCCCATAAGGGGTACAACCCAATTAGGGTTAGTACTTGTACCCAACTCTTTTCTAGTTCATTCATTCTCGTTCACAACATTCTAACAAGCCAGACTCCCCACTGCCTGCTCCTCCTCTTTATGCTGAGCAGACAGACTCGTTTACCGAGTGTCGTAAGCCTGAGTCTCGTAATGCCTCGCCTGTTTGCGCTGTTCGCACTAGTCATCGTGTTCCTCGTCCGCGTCCTCCTCCTGTCCCCGGCACTCACATTATGGCACTTCGTCCATCCTCTGTTCCACTGCGAGTTCCCCTGCCTCCTCCTCCTGAGTCCTCTCTTCAAGCTGTTCGTTCAAATTTATATGCTATAGTCTATTTAGGCTGTAGTGGGGTAGTTCATATAGGGTACAACACTTTTAGGTTTCCTACTTGTACCCACCTGCTTTCTAGTTCATCCATTCCTTCCTTTCATTTTGACATGGTATTCTGTGCAGGTTCCCCTGTGGGAACGTTTTTTTTAGGGCCCACCACGATCGTAATTTTTTCTACCCTGCCCGAAGCGCGCTTTGCGCCTGCCTCACCCTGCCGTCGCGGCCCCTACTGCCGTCGCGGCCCCTGCTACAGTCGCGGCCCCTGCTGCCGTCGCGGCACCTGCTGCCGACGCGGCCCCTGCTGCCGTCGCGGCCCCTACTGCCGACGCGGCCCCTGCAGCCGTCGCGGCCCCTGCTGCCGTCGCGGCCCCTGCTACAGTCGCGGCCCCTGCTGCCGTCGCGGCCCCTATTGCCGACGCGGCCCGTGCTGCAATTGCGGCCCCTGCTGCCGTCGCGGCCCCTGCTGCCGTCGTGGCCCCTACTGCTGTCGCGCCCCCTGCTGCCGACGCGGCCCCTGCTGTTGTCGCGGCCCCTACTGCCAACGCGGCCCCTGCTGCTGTCGCGGCCCCTGCTGCCGTCGCGGCCCCTGCTGCCGTCGCGGCCCCTGCTGCCGTCACGGCCCCTGCTGCTGTCGCGGCCCCTGCCGTCGCGGCCCCTGCCGTCACAGCCCCTGCTGTCGCGGCCCCTACCGTCGAGGCCCCTGTTGTCGCGGCTCCTGCAGTCGCGGCCCCTGCCGTCGCGCCCCCCCCCCCCCCCCCCCCCCCCCCCCCTGCTGACGCGGCCCCTGCTATTGCGGCCCTGCCCTGCACCCGCCCCTGGTAAGCACCCGCGCCGCCAGGAGATGATCCGCGCCGCCAAGGCGAGCCGCGCCGCCCAGCCAAGCCGTGCCGCCCACCGAGCCGCGCCGCTCTGCCGAGCCGCGCCGCCCAGCCGAGCCGCGCCGCACTACCGAGCCGCACCGCCATGCCGAGCCGCGCTGCCCTTTTTGCTTGCACTGCTTCTGCTGCCACTGCTGCTACTGCTGCTACTGCTGCTACTACTGCTACTGCTGCTACTGTTGCTACTGATACTATGGCTAGCCCTACTGTTCTCACCTTCGATGCAGAGGGGCGTGCACTTGACTTTGACGTGCAGATTGACGACCTGCAGCTCTTTCTTCAGTGTGACTCTAGGGATGGGGTATCCCTGTTTGATCACACGTCCGGTGTCTCTACTGCACCTGCTGCTACTGCTGACAGTACGGTTCGCTCGCAGTGGACCACTCGTGACGCTGTTGCTCGCCTTGCTGTTTGTAGTCACCTGCCGTCTGCTGAGCGCGCACATTTTGGCCAGTACAAGACTGCTAAGTCCTTGTACGACGCTGTCGTAGCGCGCTACTCCTCCCCTGCCACTGCTGCCCTCAGCCGCCTCATGTTGCCTTACCTTTTCCCTAACCTTGCCGCCTTTGCCACAGTCGTTGACCTCATTACTCACCTCCGCACTAGTGACGCCCGCTACCGCGCTGCGCTTCCCACTGAGTTCTGTGCCAAGAACCCCCCCCCCCATGTACATCACCCTTTACTATCTAGTCACCCACCTCATGACTCCCTTACTTCAGTCACGGACCAATTTCTCTCCCTTTGCCCCACCGAGCTCACTGTCGACCTACTAGAGGAGCGCCTCACTGCGGCTGAGAAGAGTATCTTAGCTGTCGGTGCTTCTCGCGGCGACCGTCGCGCCCCTTTCTTTGAGGGGTGTTCCCCTGTCCCCCTTCTCCCCTCTGTTGCTTTTGCTGCTGCTCTCGACCTCGTTGGCACTGAGGAGGTCGGGGCTGCGTCTGCTCCTAGTGGGAGGCGCCGCAACAGCAAGGGCAAGGGGGGCAAGGGTGGTGGAGGGGACGGTGGGGGCGGCGGTGGAGGCGGTGGAGGAGGCGGAGGGGGTGACGGTGGAGGTGGGGGTGGTGGCGGGAGTGGGGGCTTCGGTGGCGGCGGTGGGGGTGGTGGAGGCAGCGGCAGCGGAGGTGGAGGCAGCGGCAGCGGTGGTGGAGGTGGCAGCGGCGGTGGTGCTGGTCGAGGTGGAGCCGCGCAGCGTGGAGGCTTTGGTGGTAGCCAGCGCCAGCAGCAGCCGCGTTCCCGTGAGACCCCATCGGCCCAGCAGCTTCGTGAGTGGTACGCTGGGCGTGGGAGGTCTGGGGGTGTTGGTCCCTGCACTTACGTTCTTCGCACCGGCGGGCGCCGTGGGGAGACGTGCGGGCTGCCACACACTGCGCAGTGCTGCTTTGGTTGCCTGACTGATGCTTGGCGCGCCCAGTTTCCTGACGCTGTTGAGCTCCCTCGCTGGGGTGATCTGCTTAGGCAGAATGTGGCTATCTTTGATCTTGATTTCGATGCTATCCTTGCTGCCATGTATGCTGTGACTGATAGTGCTGAGGGTGACTGCTACCTGTGTGTTCCCCCCGACCCAGGCATTGAGGCTGCTGCTCTAGGTGCTAGTGCGTCTGCTGCTCTAGGTACTGGTGAGTCTGCTGCTCCAGGTGCTGGTGAGTCTGCTCTCTCTGGTACTGCACCTACTGAGGCCTTCCACACTTTCACACTTGACTCTGGTGCTTCGCGCTCTTTCTTTCGCGACAGCACCACACTCACGCCGCTCAGTCAACCTGTCGCAGTCTCCCTGGCTGACCCCTCTGGGGGCCCAGTCCTTGCGCACTCTTCCACGGTTCTACCGTGTCCTGCGGCCCCGTCGGGCTTGCTGTCGGGACTCCACCTCCCCTCGTTCTCTACAAACTTGGTGAGTGGAGCTGACCTCCAGGACGCGTGGGTTGACCAGTTCACCCCTGGAGGTCAGCGTGTGACCCACTGCACTTGCTCTCGGACGGGCCGCCACCTGGCCACGCTCACCCGTCGGCCTGGGTCGAGTCTGTACACACTGACTACTGCGTCTCCTCCGGTTACTGCGTCTTGTCAGGCTGCTGCATCTAGTCAGGTGTTTGCTGCTGCGTCCAGGTCTAGTCCGGCGTCTGCCCCCTGCTCGTGTCGTCATCTGTTGCACGAGACTCTCCTTTGGCACCACCACCTTGGTCACCCCTCCCTGCCTCGTCTTCGAGGTATGGCCTCCCGTACCCTTGTCTCTGGTCTCCCCCGGTCCCTCCCTCCCCTTCCTCCGGGGCCTGCCCCTACCTGTGTTCCTTGTGTCGAGGGCCGGCAGCGCGCCGCTCCTCACTCCTCCGAGTTCCCTCCAACAGAGGCTCCCCTGCAGACTCTCCACATGGACGTGTGGGGCCCAGCCCGCGTCCGTGGACAGGGTCACGAGCGTTACTTCCTGCTGGTCGTTGACGACTACTCGCGTTACACCATAGTCTTCCCCTTGCGCAGCAAGGGTGAGGTCACTGAGGTGTTGATCGACTGGATCCGCTGTACCCGTCGCCAGCTCAGCGAGCGTTTCGGCTCGGACCTTCCTGTTCTGCGTCTGCACTCAGACAGAGGTGGTGAGTTTTCCTCCGACCTTCTGAGGGCCTTCTGACGTTCGGAGGGCATCCGCCAGACGTTCACGCTTCCAGCCTCCCCACAGAAAAATGGGATTGCTGAGCGCCGCATTGGCATGGTCATGGACGTCGCTCATACGTCCATGATCCATGCGGCTGCTCCCCATTTTCTGTGGCCGTTCACGGTTCAGTACGCTGCAAATCAAATCAACCTTCAGCCTCGTGTCTCCTTGCCAGAGACCACACCTACTCTGCGGTGGACGGGGAAGTTTGGCGATGCGTCTGTGTTCCGTGTCTGGGGATCTCGAGCTTTTGTCCGCGATACTTCCGCGGACAAGCTGTCCTCCCGTGCCGTTCCCTTCGTCTTCCTTGGCTTCCCCCCTGACGCACCTGGGTGGCAGTTCTACCACCCCACCTCGCGTCATGTTCCGTCCTCTCAGGACGTCACGTTTGACGAGTCGGTCCCTTACTACCGTCTCTTTCCCTACCACACCGCCTCTCTCCCCCCCCCGCCGCTCTTCCTCGCACCAGGTCCTCCCCCGGTAGACCCCCTCCCCCCTCAGGGTCTTGCCCCCTCAGGTGTGTCCAAGGTAGAACCTGTCGAGCCTGTCAAGGTAGCTGTCGACTCAAGTGCTGCTAGGAGTGCTGAGCCTGCGGGTGCGGGGACTGGGGGTGTTGAGCCTGGGGTTGCTGTGTCTGAGGGTGCGGAGCCTGGGGGTGCTGAGCCTGAGCCTGTGGAGCCTGGGGGTGCTGAGCCTGGGGGTGCTACGTCTGGGAGTGCTGAGCCTGGGGGTGCTGAGCCTGAGCGAGCTGAGTCTGGAGGTCCTCCGGGTGTCCCGTCACGGCGGGAGCCCCTCTCTCCTCAGCAGCTTCGTGAGTG